TTGAACCATTTATATTTAAAAAATTTTAGTTAATTGCACTTGAATTTTTAGAATTTTATTCATTACACTTGAATATTAATTAATTATATGAAAAATTTTTATATTTTAATATTAATTAATAGGGAATGAGGATCCCTATAGGAAGCAAGGATGGGGAGGAAAATCTACCTCCCGTAAAAAATCCCCATCATCCCTCATCCCAACGAACGGGGAGGGACAACCCGACTCTACGAGACCCATTGACATCCCTAATCCAAATGCAGACAATCAAATGATCCAACTATAGTCTGTTCTATTCTATCTACTTGAACTGGACATGGTATTGCTGTCCATTCTACAGCATTATGTTTTGGGAATGGTGATCGCCACAAACCAAATTGTTAAGGTCACTAACTTTATGAGTTACTCACCTATATTTACAAGCTTCTTCACCAAATTTTATGTATTGTCAATCATTTTCATGACCATAATCGAAAGCTACACATCACATCTAAGTTACATTACTTTTATTCCTTTCTAAGAACAAATTGATACCACCAAGTTCTACCCAAAAAAAAAAAAAAAAATTGATACCACCAAGAATCTACTGGTTCGAGTGGAAGGAATTCAGTTTTTTTTTTAAATAAAGTTTCAAGTTTGAATATTATAAATAAAGAAACATACACTGGGAGAGCTTTTCCTTATGAGGTTGATGCAATTCAATTTTAAATTAATCGAAATCCAATATGATTATTAGATGTCAGTGCAAAAAAAAAATTGATACACCATCCCGTCTGTAAGAAATAGAAACCCATTAATTGTGCAACATTATCTGGTAGTTGAACAATCTATTAGAGAACTGTCAGTTGTTGGTCCAAAAATATGAGTATGATGTTTCTACGATTTGAAATGGGGACAAATAGCGTTGTAAGAAAATGAATCAAATGTCAATAATATCATGGTTGATTGTATGTAGGTTTTGCTTGACCCATGTAAAATTCAACAAAAACAAAGGAAAATTAACAAATACATACTGTAAACTTAAGCTTGATGATTTTATTGAGCATATACAGAGCAATATATAGAGTACACACAGTCATCTAATCTACAAAATAAGGAAACTTCAATTAAGTACAAGATACATATAATATATATTATTTACACTAAGACTGGGATTTGATTTCCTTTTGTGAGATGGTTGCAAATTTTACCTCCTTCTGCAAGGTGGAGTGATTGATCTGATATCACCCCCACAAGATAGAAAAACTATCAGTGATGCCGACCTTGAACCGTAACAAACAAAACCGAGCAGAGGAAAAGGGCTTAGTGAGACCATCTGCGAGCTGATCATGGGTAGAAATATGAGATACATGCAGATAACCACAATCCACGAGTTCCCGAACAAAGTGAAGATCAATGGTAATATGCTTCATGTGGAAATGAAGAACTGGATTAACACTCAAATAGGTGGCACTAACATTGTCACAAAAGATGGCAAGAGAGCGAGGAATAGAGATGCCCAGTTTAGATAAGAGATTTCAAACCCAAATCAACTCAGAGGCAGTTGATGAACTAATTTCACTCTAACAAGTGTGCTAGTCAGTTCAAGTAGTATAATGATAAAATATTGTATCATCTTACAAAGACTGTAAACTAACTAAATACCAAAATTAAGTAATTCTAATTTTATTTGAAAAATTAAAATTAAATGATTTGAATAAACTAAATAATTAAACTAATTAAAGAAAAACTAAATTGACTTTAAGTAACACCAAGAGTTAAAATTCTAAAGCATTCGTTCTCACCACAATCAACTAATACAGAATTTAAATTAATATACTTCTAAGATATTTATTACTTATGTGACAGTGGGATTTCCTATCCTATTTAATATACTTTCTCAAGTTATACCAAATCTATCTTCACCTATTAACCCACTATATTTCTATGTGAATTTAAATAGATAAAGATACATTATATTCTATGAAATTTCCTAATTTACATAGAAAATTAAGTCCACTTATCACTAATGTTGCATAAATCACGTTGATTCATCTCCGACTTTCATTCAATTCATGGTACATATTATTAAAAGCTATTGTATAAAATCTCCTCTGGATCGTAATTATACTCTTCAAATCAATTTTAATGATGACCAATCATTAAAAAGCATTAAGAACAAGAATATATACTGTATATAAAATAATAAACCTTGAAAGTATAAAAATCATAAAACTCTATATTAAATTAATCAGGCTACATCATAGCCTTAGATGGTTAAATCAGTTCATAATTAAAAAAAAAAATCAGCAATCTCATGATGAATATACGAGTATCCAACATCATAAAATAAAATTCAAGAACAAGTAAAACCAGATTGGCAATATAAAATCTCAAACCTTTGATATTCTTTTGTTGTTGAATTCCTCTTAACCCCTCTCTTGGTCTCCTCTCATAAGCCCTAAAACTGATTTTTGAATGGGTATTTATAGAGTTTAAAAAATCCTATTAGAAAAGAAGTAGGATTTGAAACAAAATAGGAAACTTGAATTTTGGATGCTAAACGCAAGGTTCCGACACCTTGAATTACGTATCGACACAAAATAAGAAACAAAAGCTCTAATTCTAATCGCTTGACGCATGGTGTCGACACCCCGATTATGTGTCATCACTACACCCGTGGTGGGATACCACCTCTTTTTGCAATTTCTTCAATGGAAAAATTGTAGATCTAGTCCTTCAAATTTTGTACAATGAGCATTTAGATCTCAAAACTTAAGATTCATTCATTGAGGTCCCCAAAAAGTATCTTTCTTTTTGCAATTCAGTCCCTCAACTTTTAAAAAATATTCAATTAATTTCAAAAACTCCTATTATTATGCATCCAAGTCTTTTTCTACACAAAGAATGAAACCCATGTAAATTTTCATAAATTCATTCAAATATTAATAATATCAATACAAAAATTTCACATTAATATGCATATAAATTCAGCTCATCAGCAGTGGCAGCTAGAGCGCGATATTCTGCTTCAGTGGAACTACATGCAATGGCCTGCTGTTTAGCAGCCCGCCAAGAAATTGGATTAGAACCCAAAAAAACAACATAACCAATGGTGGAGAGAGATAAGTCCTGATCATTGGCCTAGTTGGAGTTAGAATAAGCATGCAACGTGAGAGATGACTGAGGATGAAGTAGTAACCCGTGATAAACAATACACCGAAGATACCAAAGAACATGTTTCAAGGCTTGCCAATGAAGATTAGTGGGCCGATGCATGTACTATGATAGCCGGTTGACAACAAAGGAAATGTCTAGACGAGTGAGAGTGAGATATCGAAGAGAACCAAGGATATGACAATAGTCAGAGCTATCAAAGAGAGCCAAACCTGCTGAAGAGCTTAGATGGGCTGAGGAAGGAAGCGGCATGGAAACTAGCTTCACAACATCCATGTTCGCTCGACGAAGGATATCAAGGATGTTCTTGTGTTGAGAAAGCAATAACCCGGTAGATGTAGGAATAGCCTCAATGCCCAAAAAGAAAGTGAGAGGGCCAAGATCTTTGAGAGAGAAGCATTGCTCCATTTTTTGCACAAGAGAGCGAATTAGATTCGAGTTGTTCCCTGTGATGAGAATATCATTAACATACACAAGGAAATAAAGCCAAGTAAAGTCCTTGTGGTACACAAATAAAGAACTGTTAGATTTAAAATTGTAAAAATCCTGAGATAAAATAAAATATTTTAATTCCCAAAACCAAGCTCGTGGAGCTTGCTTTAACCCATAAAAAGAGTTTTTAAGCCTGCAAACAAAATTGAGTTTGTCAATGTCCATAAAACCAGGGGGCTGTTGCATGTAAAGATCTTCCTCTAATTTGCCATGAAGAAAGGCATTATTAACATCCAACTGGTGAATAGGCCAACCATGACTAACAACAAGTGATAAAACCATCCAAATAGTTGTTGGTTTAATAATCGAACTCAAAGTGTAATTAGAACCAGGTCGTTGATAAAAACCTTTAGCCACGAGACGTGCCTTATAGCACTCAATACTGCCATCTTTATCCCGTTTAACACGAAAATCCCACTTACAACCAATAAGATGTTGACTAGCATTCAAGGGCACCAATTCCCAAGTACCTTGCCAAACTAGTGCAGTAAACTCTTCAAACATGGCTTGTCTCCAAATAGGTTCTTTCAAGGCTTGGGACACACATGTGGGTTCTAAGGAGGTGGTAACAGGGGTAGGAATGGTGTGAAAGAGCTGTTTGAGTTTGAAAATGTTGTTTTGGGCCCGAGTAACCATAGAATGTGTTCTAAGAGGTTGGGGTGGGGCCAGGGGTGGGGCTAAGGGTGGGCTTGGAGGACTGGATGAGCTGGAGTGGGCCAAGGGCGAAGAGGAGGACAGGCTTGGCGGTGTGTGTGGAGAGGGGGAATTTGGGCTGGGTGATGGCGTTTGGAGAACAAGTTGATTGGAAGTACCAAGGATGCAGAAGTAGGTTCCGACGGCAACACGGTCTCCTGAATTATACCATGGGACTCAACTTTTGTGGAGTGGCATGGCGAGATTGGCATGTGACTAGGATTAGGTTGAGTGGAAGATGGGGACATTGCAGGAAGTGGACAAAAATCATTAAAAGCACTAGAATTAGAAGAATTTTTAAAGGGAAAATAAGATTCATGGAATATAACATGGCGAAAGTGCAAAACTTTCTATGACTGTAAATCTACGCATTTATACTCCAAATTTTCAATAGAGTAGCCTAGAAAAAGACAAGGACGAGATCTAGGTTATGATTTATTTTGAGTATAAGGGCGAGTCATGGGAAACAAAGACAGCCAAAAACTCTTAATTTGAGATAATTAGGTTTGTGAAAAAACAATTTTTCAAAAGGGGAAACAGATTGAAGAACACCAGTAAGCAACCCATTAATTAGGTAGACTGCTGTTTGGAAAGCATAAGACCAATATTTGAGAGGGAGGGAAGGCCGCAGGATGGGTAGTTGTTCGGGGTGAGCTTGAGAGGGAAGGCGCCAGCATTGAAAGAGATCGGCCCTCGGTTGGATGGAGTGAGTAATGTGGCAGCGAAATTGGGAGTTGTTTCACCGGATACAGGGGTGCTGTTGCTGGAGGACACCATGGGTTTTGGAAATTCTCGTTTGAGAGATGGCTCTGATACCAATATTGTAAACTTAAGCTTGATGATTTTATTGAGCATATACAGAGCAATATATAGAGTACACGCAGTCATCTAATCTACAGAATAAGGAAACTTCAATTAAGTACAAGATACATTTAATATATATTATTTATATTAAGACTGAGATTTGATTTCCTTCTGCGAGATGGTTGGAGATTTTGCTTCCTTCTGCGAGGTGGAGTGATTGATCTGATAATACAATTATGCATGTATTATTTATTTATTTTACATGTTGAACTACATTTGAATCTGCAGATGTAGCAATGCTTGAGATCAGAGAAGTTCCTTAGCGCTCTGATTGATGATAGTTGCGGTAAGGATCTCGTAAGCCTTCTCTGTGGGATGAAAGCTGTCCCAAAATACGTATTTTGAGGCATCTGGGCAGCTTAGCGTGTTCGTGGCAGGATTACACAGCACAGTTACTTCAATTCTGCCTGTGCCACAACAGCCTACATTTGCCACTTCAAAGCCTGATTTCAAAGACAACAAATCAACAATAGATGATAAAACATTCTTGATGTTTGTTTTTCTTAAGTACCTGTAAAAGAAGTGTTGTTTGAGTAGAGTATTTTTGTTTAAGGATATAATAATGTACCGTATTTGTGAGGGTTTTGGATGATGTTCAGGAGTGGATTGTAGGTATCAACATAAGCAATCTTTAAGTTTGGAAGACTGTTCTTGAGAGGACCTATTTGGGCAGAGAGCTTGGAGTTGTAGACTAATGTCCAATGGTTTTCGTCATCTGCACAAACTCTTGTTATGCCACCAAAAATTGTTCTCTGTGCTGGCCCACACCCAGTTGGCGGCGTCCCCAGAACGGCAACTCTCCTTGCTCCTGCCTCATAAAGCTCCTGTCAATAAAATTATTTGTTCCCACATCAGTTAGGTGGGCTTTCTTTCTCCATTCCAAAACAAGTTAAAAATTGAAACATTCTCCAAGATTTTAGTACTTACATACAATCTAGTTTGATATGTATATGTTTATATGTACCTGGAAGAATTTTGAAGCATAGCTGACTATTAAATCAGTGTATGAATCAATGTCATATTCAGCTCTCCTGATTCGGTAAGTAGTAGAAATATCATTGCCTCCACACCAGACCAAGAACAATGATTTTGAAAGAAAGCTAGCAACTTGCTCTTCCCCTAATACTGACTTTATCTTTTCCTTGTATTCCTTGAAAAAGTCTAGTTGATCCGACATTGAATAAGCAGACTAATAATAAAGGAAAGAAAATAAAAAATAAAAAATGTTAAAAAGAAAGAAGTGAAAATGTTAAATGTTGGAGAAATTTTGGATAAGAGTACAAAGGTAAGGATAAATACATATATGTATACATACTGCTAGTCTAGATGTGAGAGGATCAAATCCAGCACCACCAGAAGCAAAACTTACTCCTGTTAGGAGGTCTTGTAGCTGTAGAGTTGGGTCAAGATATGCTGGTAACAACTCTTTGATGCCCAATAATTCAGCTGCAAAATTATATGATATATAAAAAAAAATAAAAATAAAAATAAAAATAAAAAAATCATGTAGTAAGTTGATGCATTTTAATTCCTAATATTAGTGAAGCTTGAACAAAAACAAAGAAAAAAAAAGGGGGGGGAAATTGTTGTTGCAATGTTAGTGCCAAAGGAAGTTACACCATGCCTGCAAAGTCAGTTGGAATTTTTCCATTACTAAATCTTCCAGTTGGTTTTCCTCCCGGGAAATCTCTTCCATAAGGTGGAAAATTACACTTGGCTACGGTAATAATAAGGTTATTGTTATTCCCCGGATCGACTAAGGAATCCCCAAAAACAAATATAGCAGGAACTGTTACATTTTTAGGTAGATCCAAAGTGCAACCTCCATTAAAGAGAAGCACAAAAATAGAGAGCGTAATAGCAGCGGAAGAAGAGGAGGGAAACATTACTGTTTTGATGCATAAAAATTGTTGAAGAGACCCTTCTGACTTGTCCAATTTATCAGGAGGGATGGAGATTCAACATAAGAAAAGGATGTGGCTGTGTGATCACACTGACAATTCGCGACCCATTTAAATGCAGTAGGTCTCCCGCGCACAAAGCAGGTCTTGCTGCACATATTGAACGTGATATTGACGGGGGGAAGCTAGAGCAAATTGCACTTATCCTTCAATTTAAAAGTGGTTTGCAGTGACAGCCCTCAACGAACAAAATGTGCCATTTACTCCATAGGGTGGTGGAACCGTGGAAAATTAAGATATTTTGATATTTAAAATAATAATATTTAATAATTATTATATAATAAATTTAATAAAATTAAAAGTTATATTATATTTTATACATTTAA